AGGCCTTCATTTAAACCAAGAACACTAATCTACTTTGGAGAGAAACTATGCCAGTTAGAAGAGTGAGAGAGCACTTATATGGGGGAAGAGAACTGATTCAGAAGAGGCAAAAGAAAATGGAACACAGCCAAAGGAACCTGAAGATAGTTTCTATGTCAGCATAAGGCATGCCATCAAAAGATGTAGAGGAGTTTGATCTGGAAGCTCGTGGAACTTCCAGAGAAGTAGAGGAAGCAGTGAGGAGACCATCTAAGGAAGAGAGAAGGTGTGTAGATACCATCTTGTCATTGTCTGCCCATCCCTACTTAGGAAGTTCCCAGTATGGCCCCTATTTTTATTCCATAAGCAAATGTGTTTCCACCATCCAGAAATCTGTTATGGAGCTTTGAAACATAAGAGTCTAGAGGAATAGAAGCATGAAGTATCCAAAGAAATCCAACAGAGAAAATATCAGATAACTCAAATTTTTCTCAACATTATGAAGAGACATCCAGAACCTGTCCTTATGCAAAGAGCACATACTGCTCAAGGCACTACATGGTCTTAAACAAACAAACAAAAAAACTACAGCCTGACTCCAAGATGCCAAATCTCTCCAGACATTGCTGGAGTCACAAAAATGTGGGAATTTTTATTAAAATGGTTGTTATTGTTGTTGTTGTTGATGATGATGATGATGATATGGCTATGGAAGAAAATAGCCCACAATTATAAAGTTTAAAATGTGCCTTTGTAAACAGACACTTATGTAACGTTCGAGGTAAAGGGAAAGAGGAAAAGCACTACAAGGAAAAGCTGAGGAAAAAAGGACTACTCTTCAGAGTGACTTTGGCTGGCCCCGTCATTGTTACAGTGAGCAGCGTGACCATTAACCATTTATTGAATAGTAGCTACATGACTGTTTTTAACCCAACACTTAACCAAAATGTTCTGAATAATTTAATCCTTAAAATTGTCCTTTTAACTTTTTTCTTTGTGTTTTGATAGTTACTGAAAGATGTAAGACTTGGAGAATACTGGAGGGATCAAATCTCCCAGTAAAATGCCACTTCTGATGGCATTTAGGGTCCACTCAGATAATCTCAGAAAATCTAATTTCATTATCTGTAATGTAATCACCTCTGTTACTATCTAAGGTCATATTTACTTTTTTGGGATATATGGTAATCATCACACATTCTACTGATTAGGACACGGACATACCCTTTGGGGACCACCATTCAATCCACTACAGTGGTCAATAAGCACATGAATTTAGGCCATTACAGGATGGCCTTACGAAGAAAACAGAGCAGGGAGAAGGGATAAGAGAGTAACAGGGGATGCTATCTTTGATAAGGGAGGGCCTCTTTAATGAGGGGCATTGAAGTAGAGACCTACTTGAAGTAGATGGGAGAGAAGTCTTTCAGGCAGAGAAATGAGTAACACAAGGGCCCTAAAACTAGTTGTGTTTGAAGAGGTGAGAACCGATGCTGTTAGAGTAGAAATGTAGTAGGAGGTGGATCAGAGGCAGAATTTTATTCTGAGTAAAAAGGGAAGCCATTGGATTGACAGTAGAGGAGTAATCGGTCTGATTTATACTACTGTGGCTGATAGAGAATAAATAACAGGGAGAGGGCACTGAACTAGTGTGACCATTTAAGAAAGTACTGTGATACCCCAGGCAGGAATAGGACTAGCATAGTAGCTATGGAGATGGTGAGAAGTGATATGATTTGGGATATATTTTGAAGGTTGAGCCATTAGGATTTGCTGACTGAGTGGCTATATGTGAGAGTAATAGAAGAGTCAAGGATGATTGTAATGTTCTTTTTGTGTATGTGGCTGGAAGGATATAAGTCACCACCAAGCAAGGGTTAGAAGATGGGGGGGAGAAGCAGATTTGGGGATCAAGAATTCTGTTTTGGAATTGAAAAGCCTTTTAAACATTCAAGTAGAGATACTCTGTAGTGATTTGGCTACAGGAATCTGGAGTTCAGGGTAAAAGACATATGTCTTGGCATCATTGGTGAATAGGTGGTATTTAAAATCACTGTGGAGTAAGTGTAATACAGAAAAAGGACCAAGACCAAGACTGAGGAACTCTAAAATTAAGAAGTCAGGGCAATGTGGAGGAAATAAGAAACAGTTCTGGGAGTGAGTTAGTGAAGTCTGAACCAAGAAAGTCTGCTGACCTGAAAACCAAAATAAGATGACTCAAGGAGGGAGTAGTCAACCGTGTCAAAAGCTGCTGATAGATCAAGTAAGTTGACGACTGAGAATTTACCATTGACTTTATCAGTGGGCAATCAATGGGAGTCGTGACAAGAACATTTTTGGTGGAGTGTGGGCACAAAATTCATCTAGAGTGAGCGCAGAAGGGAATTGGGAAAAAAAGAATTGTAGACAACTAATCTGGACAACTGCCATGAGTTTTCCTCTTAAGGGGAGGAGAGAAATAAAGTAGAAGCTGGGGGAATTGTTTTTCAAAGATTGGAGGAATTACTATATGATAATAGCAGGCTGATAGAAATGCTCCTATTGAAAGGCAAGAATTGATACTGCAGGCAAAGGAATGAGTACAAAAGGGAAGTGCTCAAGTGAGAGGAAACAGGGTCCAGTGCCTGAGTGGTCAGCCAGCTTTGGGCAGGAGTAGGACATGTCTTTCTTATAGCAAAGGGGAACTCAGTATATGGTTGATCTGTTAGTGTGAAGATGAACATGTTTTTCTGAGGGCTTTTATTTTCCCTATGCAATGAAAGACAAGGTCCTCAGCTGAGAATGGAGAAGAAACAAGTGTGAGAAGGTGTGGAAAAACCTTCCTGAGAAAGTAAATTGTCAAGCACAGTGGTGAATTATCTAGTGAATTTTCTAGGACATCACTACCCATAGAAATAGAATGCAAGCTGTGTATGGAATTTCAAACTTCCCAGCAGCCACCTTAAAAGGGTAAAATAAAACTGGTGAAGTTCTTTTTAGTAATATATTTTATTTAACCAAATATATTCAAAGTATTATCATTTCAGCATGTATCAGTATTAAAAAATGAGATCTTTTACATTCTTTTTTTTTTAGTATTAACTTCTTAAAAGCCAGTGTGCATTTTACATTTTCAAGCGTATCTCAGTTCAGACTAGCCATATTCAAGTGCTCACTAGCCACACGTAGCCAATGGCTACCATACTGGATACTGCAAGTCTAGGAAATGAAGTAGTACTAATGGATAACATGAGGGCCCCTTGAGATTGGGAGCCATGAATTGAAGTGAAATTTGCATGGCTGTGTGTTGTACTCAAGCTACATTCAGAACTCATATAGAGATGTGGAATAAGCAGAGAGTTGGTCTTGACCAGGAATGGAGTTTTGTCTGCAGCATTTAACCAAAGGAAAAGAGAAGGGAATTGATGGCATGTACAACCAAATGATCATACAAATTGAGCATAGCACATCAGCCACAGAAGTAAGAGGTGGGGGCAGTGTGAAAAGGTGGTAAAGACAACAGAAGTTCTAGTAGAGTCAAAGAACTTTTAGAATTGTAGTTGTTGTGCAATATACAAATATGTCTAAAATAATCCCTGCCCTCAGCAAGCTGATCTTGGTTGCAAGTATACCAATAGCTTTGGTATAACATGGTATGTAATAATACCAGTATGAGTTCAGAGGAAGAAGAACCCATGTCCTACTAGGATGATCCAGGAGAGTGCAATGAGGAGGTGGTAGGTAAATCAGGACTTAAAGTATGAAATAGGGTTTTAATTGGTCTATGGGAAACACATTGCAAAATGAGGGGGAAAAAACACAAGAACAGATAGAAAGAAGCAAAAATGTTCAATATTCCTTGGGGATGGGAGTAAAAAAAAAAAGCCTTAATGTTAATTTTTATTTAGAGAGAGCTATTGACTACAATGGGGAAAGCAGCCTATAAATAATGATAGGTCTTTAGAGAACAGTCCTGGGATAATTTCCCCAGGGAAGAAAAGAGTTCACTGTAAAATATGGTGACAGTCCCAGAATACAATGTTTCCTAGGAATGAGAGAACTAAGTACCAAAGACTGTTTTCAAGAAATAAATGCCCTTCTTTTCTGGCCCACCTCACCCTTACACACACACACACACACACACACACACATGCACAAACACATACCTTTCATCTTTCATTTAGAATTCAGTCTCATAAATGTAATTCTCTTCTATGGAATGGTCAGTTACATCTAAAGAGAAGCAATATATTTACCTTTCATCATTATATCCTGGAATAAAGCTTTGGAACCAACTAGGATTAGAATATGTGGGATTTAAAAGGCTTTGGTTACTACTAACACTTTATTTTTTAAAAGCAGATCTACTCTCACCATACAGACTTAGTTTTTAATTCCTTCAGAAAATAAGCTGCATGTAGACAGTGTACTCTTTTTTCTAAATCTGATGCCATTTCTATTAAACTTTTAAGGGAAAGGCAGCATTGCAATTTACTTTGGTTCTCAATACAGTCATCATTAAACAACAGGAAATTTAGTTTTTCCTAAGCATGTTCAGATCATTGGTGCAAAAAAAAAGTTAGCCTCTCTTTTCCCAGCTCTAAATATTTAGGGAAACCTGCCAGGGTATCCACTCTCTTCTGTTTTTCACAAGAATTTCCTACTTCCACTGGAATATTTAGAAACAGTAAGAAGAGCTACATGTTTCCACATGAGAATTTAATAATACTGTACTTTGAATTTACATATCATATATCCTTGGTACTTCATAGCTCATTATCATTGTAAATTTACAAATCAGTATATGAAAGCACAAGGCTTAGAAGCAACTCTTTTCCTGTCCAACAGTAAGTTATTAATGCCAGCATTGGAACTCGTAATTACTGACACATGTGGTCCTACAACATCTAAAGATCATTTTCATAACATAAAATGAAATCCTCAGTAAGTAGAACATATCAATTATCAAATATCCTATTTATTCAAGATAATTTTAAGAACCATGAAGCTTTAATCATATAACCATATATAAATAACTATATTAAATAACCATATTAAACCACATAGGCCTACATTAATATAAGTATAGATAAATGTATCATTTGATCAAAACTAATACTTAATATGAATTAGTAAATATATACATATATAATCCAATCAGTTCCACAAAGTAGAATATATTTCAATCAAAAAGTAAGCAAATATCTCAACATACTTAAAAATGTGAACTACTGCTTTAAAAAATTTTCACCAACATGCTATAATCTAAAGGGTACAGATGCCATTGGTCAGACTGCTGTATACGTCATCAAGTGTCTCCTTACTGAGGATAAAAGCATCCATTGTCTGCTGATTCAATTAGGAACCTAAGATACCCAGTTCTCTTGGCAGTACCAGCTGTGGTTTTAATTCTGGTGTCTTGAACATCATATGTCTGGGAGATTCTGTAAGATCTGTCTCAAAGAAGCACAGGCTACCACGTGGGCATCTGAAGGAAGATTAGCAAGTGACTGAATCAGCTTCTTGACTATTGTCTTCAAACACTGGTGGGCAGCATTCAAATCTCTGTCAAACTGTTGTCCTTGAATTTGTAGAGCCAAATGACTACAGATATTTCTAAACTCAACACTATCCTGAAATAAACAGCAAACACAAGCAGTTAGATAGGTTATGGGGACATTTGTTGTGTTTTGTGTACCCAGCTTCCATTCCCATTTCTTCTCATCACAGGACCTCAATTATTTTCTGAGAGAACTACTCTCCTCCATTTTCAGCCTATGTAATTTGACCAAAGCTGACCCCACCCACGCTACAACTCCAGGGACCAGGCCAATCAATCAGAGACTACCACCCCTCAGTCAATTTGGATTGGTCAGGAATGGACAGGTGACCGAACACAGACCAATAAGCCACAGTTCTAGAATGTCTGTTAGACTGGGAAAGAGAAGCTCTCTATAACTGGGGCTTTTGGAAGGCATCCTGCCACCATAAGGGGAGAATCCAAATGAGAATGAATAAATAAATGAAAAAAAAAAAAAAAAAAAAAGCAGAACCAAGGGATTAGAAGAGATTGATTCTCATTACATTCTCTGAGCATATTGATCCAGCTATACTTGAAAAATAAACCCCAGGATTTTTTGGTTATCTGAGTCAATAAATATGCCTTTTTTACTTAAGCCATTTGGAGTTGAGTTTCTGTTATTTGTTCCTAACAGAGCTTTAAAGAATACACAAAATAGCCTCTGTTCCTATTATTCCATACTCATAGTCTTCAAAATTCCAACACAGGATTTGGTATTTAATGAACACAGAGTCAAGAACTTTCCAATACAAATTTAGAAAGAATAGTTCCCAGGTAGTTTAAAAGAACAAAATAACTAAATATATTTTTAATTCCTATATGTTTCACATTCTAAAATCCATTGTATCGAAATGGTACACTAAAATTATTCCAATAAACAAACAAATAAAATTATTCCATATCAGAGATAGTGTTGAATATATAATTTATTTTAAATACGTGTAAATGACTCTCCACAGACTTCCAGTTCTGGTAACATGGCACACTTAGTTTCCCCAAAACCCTTTGGGGAAACTGAATTCTAAATAAAATAGAGCAAACATCCTTTCTGATATTGCAAGAAAACTGGAAATCCCTAAGGGCCAGAGATAAAGGAAAAGTAGATTATGTTAGCTACCCACCAATATTCATCCAAAAAAGAAAGTTAATCTGGAGCTGGGTTTGGGGTAGAGGATAAACTTGCCCCAACAATGCATAACTGTTGACCTGTACTACACAACAGCTGAAGTTGGGAGCTGCCCTCTACACCATATACATGTTCTGGAAACACTCATGCTAAGAAATTAATTTCAAAATTGGAACTGGGCTGAAATATCCATGGACACATGGTAAAAGGAAATAAAAGCCTATTCCATGGGGACACGACCACAACCCATGACCCACAATAGTATTCCCATAATACTCTGTCAAAGACAAAATCAGAATATGAAATTTAACATATCCACCATGATACAGCAGATACCAATACAGGGCAGAATTAAACTCCAAGTATTTCAGCTAGAAACTATAAAATATGTTTAAAGTGATTAAAAATATAAAAGAAGGAATAAAACACATTTTAAGTAAAAACAGGCTTGGAAAAGAACCAAATACATTTCCAGAAATAACAACTATTTTGACAAACTAAAAACTCAATAGACAATTTAAACACCTGAATACATTCGAAGTGAGGAATAGTAAACTGGATGATGAATGAGAAAATTACTCAGAATGCAAGATAAAAAGCCAGACATAGGAATTATGAGTGGGAAGTTAAACAACATGGATGATAGAATGATGAAGCCCAACAGATACGCTTCCAGGAGAAAGAGAGAGGTTGGGGGGAGAAGAGGGGAGACAATATATATATGTTTTTTTAAAGATTTTATTTATTTATTTATTTGACAGAGAGAGAGAGACAGACACAGCGAGAGAGGGAACACAAGCAGGGGGAGTGGGAGAGGGAGAAGCAGGCTTCCCATGGAGCAGGGAGCCCGACGCAGGACTCGATCCCAGGACCCTGGGATCATGACCTGAGCCGAAGGCATTAACCGACTGAGCTACCCAGGCGCCCAGGGGAGACAATATTTAAAGAGAATAATGGATAAGAATTATTCAAAATTGATCCAAAACATGAATCCAGGTTCATGAACATAGATTCAGGAAGTAAAATGAGATTCAAATCTAAACTTATTAAGGCAAAACTACTCTTAAAAGCAACCGGCGGAGACAGACTGCCAACTACTAAGCTACAATGACTGAAGTCAGAAAGAATGGGATAATTTTTCAAATAATTGTCAACATAGAATTTTTTTTTAATCCAACAAAACTATTACCTAAACACCAGGGCAAAATAAATATGCCTTCATTTAAAAGGACAACAGGAGTTACCACCCAAACTGTCATATTTTCCTAGAGATATAATTCAGAAAGGGGACATTCAATTCAAAAGGAAAGAATGAGACACAAGAAGCAACAATGAACAAAGAAACTTAAAAATATGATGTAAATCTAAAGAATTGATTGTTCAAAACCAAAATTATAACAATTAACTTGGGACTTACAAAAGCAAGATGGTTCCAAAATGCTGAATAGCAGTAACATGTGGGATGGAGTGGCATTCTAAGGCATTGTACATATTTAGAAAGGTGGCAAAGTTGATAAATTTCAGACTTATTTCAGTATGTGTGTGAGAAAAGTAAGGGTTATCATTAAAGGACAGAAATAATATGTTAAACTTCAAAATCAGCAGACAAAAGGAATATTAAAACTTAATTGATCCTATTTTTAGAAGGTAAAAATGAAGAAATATACAAACATAAATCAAGGGGAACAGAAAACACCAAATCAGACACCTTTTGAAATATAGTGGTTACCAGATTGGATTTTAAAAGATCTATTGATAAGTTCTTTACAAGAAACACATTCAAAACTAAAAATACCTAAAGACTCAAAGTAAATGAATGCTAAAACATATACAAAGCAAAGAGAAGCCAAAACAAATCCAGGAAAATCATTATTAAGGATAAAATAAGCTACAATTAATAAAAGGAACTATTCCCCAAGAAGGTATAACAATTTTGTACTTTGTGTGTGCCTAATATGATTATCTTAATTTACATTCAATCCACAAACATAAAAACTGATTTTTACCCAGCTTTCTGAGACACATAAATCAAACAACAAAATCATCAGCCTGGAGAGAAAAAGACTGAAACACTAATCATAAGCTTGGCCCAATAAAGATAAGCAAATACAAATTTTCCCAAAGATATATGGAATATTTATGAAAGCTGACTGTATTATAATATGCCAAAAGTAAATTCTCAATGAATATCTAGAAGTCTATATCATAGAAATCACAATGCCAATAAATGAGAAATCAATAACATAACCTTCCCAATACATACATGACTTAAAAATCTACTTCCAAATAATTCATGGATCAGTGAAAAAATAATTGAAATTTTAAAATACTTTATACTGAACAATTATGGACATAATATATCACAAATTTGTGGGACACACCTGCATTGAGAAATTCATACACTTAATGCTATTTAAGTAAAGAATAATCACTGAAAAAGCATGAGCTAAGAATTCAACTCAAGAACTTAGGAAAAGAAAAAACATAATCCAAAAAAAAAGAAAGAAAGAGCTAAAAGCTGAACTGAAGTTTTTTTGTTTTCTTGTTTTTTTAATTTTTTTAATTTTTTTAATTTTATTATGTTATGCTAGTCACCATACAATACTGAACTGAAGTTTGAAACTAGAGTTTTCTTCCTAATTCTGTGTAGGAAGAGAAGCTATTCTTCTCCCTAACAAAAACTCTGTCACTTGGGTTAGAAGGACCTGGGTCTCTGGCAAAGTGTTTTATTAGAGAACATCTTCTGGGAAACAAAACAAACTTTCATCTATTGAGTTTGGCCAACAATGGCAGCAGGACCCCAGTGTGAGTTAAGTGCTGGGATAGAAAGATCAACACAACACGCTATAGTTCCTTTACTCAAGTATTCACAGGCTACCATGCTTCTTGTTTTTTCTTCCTCTTTAAAGCATTCTAGCTTCCCCGCCTTTGCGTGTTGCTCATTTCTGCTTAGAAGGTATCAAGGGGCTACTTAGATAATCTCTCCCATAGTTTATGGAGTAACCTATATTCCTGGAGCATATTGCTTGGGAATGGGAAAGTAGAGGGGAAAAATATGCCTCTGGACTACTTCCCCTAGATCCACATCAAGGGAAATTGTCTGCTTGCTTTATAGAAGTAATCCAACTCTAAGTACAAAGCGGAAGGATCAAAGACAACATGCAAAGGGAAATTCAAAATTGAAGGAACCACTGAAATGTGTGCTGACGTGTGCCTATTAGCCAGTCTGCAAAGGCATTCATCACCCAAATAAGATTAAAATGCCTTTAAAAATATGTTTGTGGGCCTAAAATCTGAAGTCAATTTCACGTTTACTGTAAAGAATCAAAGAAGGCATCGTTTGGGGAAAGTATACATAAAATAAAATTCCACTCCTGGCCTGTACTGGTCCCTGAGGCCGTGGGTAAACTTCAAATCTCTGGCAAGCTTTGCAAAGTCTCTTTATTTTACTCTTTTAGTACAGTATTTCTTCTTAATCCTTTCTCAAATATATTAACAGTCAAAGAAAACAAATTAATAGGCATAGGCTTTCCATGGGACTCTTAAGCCTGGGGATGGAAAAATAAAACAGGTGGTTGCTTCTCTCCCTTTCTGAAGGGTCTGAAGGCCAACTGTGGATCCAATGATCATGGCCTCCAACCAAACCTCTACTGATTCTGTTGCATAGGCGGGAGCCAAAAATTCACAGCGTTGAGGCAGTGGCATATTGAATGGCTCATGGGCTTTCAGTAGAAAATCGCATGATCAATATTCATAATGATTTCGTGTATGGTGCTTTCCATTCAGTGACAGAACACATCCTCCCAGCAGCTTTTATTTAAGCAAGTCCCAGATGCTTCCAGAAATGATGTAATATCCTACGTAGGGTTTGAGCATGCTGCCAGAATTAGAAAATTATGACTTAGCAATCTAAAGACAGGTTTTCG